GGATTTTCCGCGTCGTTCTCTTGATTTACCTGACTATTGACCCTCTGAGTCAGTCCGAGGATGGTCACATGGGCAGCGTGAGACGGTGCTGCTTTGGACCAACGGTAKGATATTTGGGTCGRTACGGACACCGGTTCGGAGGGGTTYCGGTTATAGTTCGGTGTTTTGGTTCGGGGTGARCTCAGTATCAGTGCATTTCAAGTTCRGACATATCAGTGTGATTTATTGTCAGGCTTGGGGCTGCTACGACGATCTATTTCAGCTTCGCCGCCGCCATGGCGGTTTATCCCGGGCACGGTGCTATCGCGGCCATTGATTTCGGATTCGGTATGACTCGACACCGACATATTTTTTTTCCAGCTCGACAAGGGCTCGACATCAGCTTATTTCAGACTCGAGCAGATCAGGGTGATTTATTATCCGGTTTGGAACCAYCACATTGATTTATTTCAGGATCGGAACARCTTCGACGTGACTCCGACCGTCTACTTCCGGATCAGCACCAACACGAYAATTTATTTCAGCATCGAAGYCATTGCCACATTAATTTTCTGGTTCGGTTTGGGGTCGGCTGRCAMGGTACGGGCTATTTCAGTTCTCTGCGACAACGATCGGATRTGTGTGTGAAAAACGACTCCAAATGATTGGTATGATTTGGTACGGGTGCTACGGTCGGAGGCATTGTCACGAAACAGTKGCTGCAAAATACCGCRGCCAGTAGCTGCAGTCCCAGAYGGCTATGTCAATGGGACTCAACGGTTCAATATTGAGGCCCTCTTCATCATCTTGGGTATGTACGRCACTGGCGTGAGGCTTTGGTCTGTCACCGGACTGGTACGGTCCTTGGGCCAATACAGCCAGGTCACGGGGTCGCGGTACCATTATGCTCGGCACAGTTTCTGATTTGGTAACTAGGACAGTTSTCTTTGATTTCGACTGCAACGCCTATCGGTACCGTTGGACTGGAATTCCCATAGTACGGGGGTACCCGGGCCCTCAGCAGCATGTGCTCCGTAAAAGGCTACGGTCGCAGCATATAGGGAAAGGCAGCGAAGAGAGGGGGGACGCACTCAGTACGAGCAAGGTGTACCCGCGTGTGCAAGCGCGGGGAAGACGCGCCAGCGCTGAGGCGGTTACTCCGCGTGTGAGGGGAGTGACGTGGGGGAAAGGAGCATGCAAGGTGTACCTGGCCCACAACATAGTGGGATCCAGGCAGGTCAACGCGTTGGGAGCAGCATGCAAGGCGTTCCCCGCCCACGTAGCATGCACAGAGGGGGTGTGCGAAGAGACTGAGAAAGAGAGTGAGAGGATCAGACTGCGCAGCGTGCTCGAGAGAGAGGGAGAGAGACAGGGGGACTTGCCTTTGGGCGGCGTGCCAGGTGTATCTGACGTTCCGTTAGCACATGTGGCGCGGGGTAAGGGGGAGAAATTGATTCTGGCAGGGTGCCAGGAGTACGGGGCGCTAGTTTGACTGAAAGGTGATGGTTCGGGAAGGAGACTTGGAGAGACGCGCCAGGCGTAGCCAGCTGATGATCCAGCAGCAAGGGAATCTGCACGTTCTCGGTAATTGCGGGAGCACGGCGTGCGCGGCTGCCAGATGGGCAACACGAGAAGGGGAATGTGGCTCTATTGCAGATGGGATCTGCTGCCCCACGAGTGAAAACACCAATCACACTCTACTGCAGATGAGACCTGCTGCCTAACGAGTGAAAGCACCAATGACACTCTACTGCAGATGAGATCTGATGCCTCACGAATGAAAACACCAATGACACTCTACTGCTGATTAGATTTGCTGCCTCACGAGTGAGAACACCAATCAATATCTACTGTTGATGGGATCTGTGAAAGTATCAATTACGTTCTACTGTTGATGGAATCTGGCACCCTATGCGAGAAGCCAACGGCCACTTTCCACAGTTGGTGGGATTTGCTATCCTGCAAGGGAGAACTACAGCTATATTCGGTCGCAGATGGAATCTGGTAATCCGCTAACGGAGAGAGCCACCAAGTTTTGTAGTAGATGGGATCCGCTAGTCTGCTGGTGACACTGTTGAAGAAACCAGCCATGGCGCTGGGCAGAGGCAGATTCAACTATACCTCTGGTTGATGAACCGGTGATACTCGTGGGAACCCAATTTATCCGCTCCGTTGACCCCAGAACCAGCCACTCCGAAAGAAGGGAAACTTATGAGATCAGGTAAGTTGTACGCGAAGGCTGGTGGGTCCACA